AGTTAAATATCTCGTGCATCCATTATTCAATATGGTTGGTGAAAAGCGAAAGGCTTCTAGTGAGAGTGGAAGTGGAAAGAAGAGGCAAGCCATTTCATTTCAAATGAAAGTGGCAATAATAAAGAAGCTTGATGCGGGTGAGAAAATGGTGAGCGTTGCACGTGCATACAACATGAATCGTTCGACCATCAGTACCATTTATAAACAGAAAGATCACATAATGGAACACGTGAAAGGTGCAGTGCCGATGCAATCGACGATCATTAGCAAGTAAACATACTTATATAAGCCTCAAACATACATTCCATACAAAATATAGCACTGAAGCAACTTACGAATGAATTCACCTTACGAACAATTGTTCGGAACGTATCTCGTTCGTAAGCTGGAGAGCGTCTGTATATATATATATATATATATACACACACACACACACTTAAAAAAATGTCAGTGTGGGCCGTGATTTTCGAATGGAGTATCATCTAACTGTGTACAGTATCAGTTTTTTTTCCAAAACTAATGTTAAAATGTGTTTTGGCTCCCCCTGGCGAATTTTCAGTCACCGCATATGCGCTCCTTGTCCATTTTAGTCTCTGCCTGTCAACCCCGTGGAATGTGCGACGTACATCATGCAGGCACCAGACACCCCAACCCCCTACCCCCACCCCACACCCCAGCCCAGCCACCCCCTACCACACTCCCATCAGAGTGTTCTGCAAATGCTCTGCAGCTCGCGCTTCGTTTGACGTCGTCTTTCAAAGAAGTCTATCTTCCATCGTTGCTCCTCACAAATAACCAGTCGCTGAATCGGTGAGTAACAAATACATTATTTATTTTCTCAGCACAAACTCAGAAAGTTGTATGTGTGACAGATTTCACAATGGAAACTGAGCATGTTCGCAGGGATCTATTTTTAAAAGCAGCTCATCCACAGTACCGGCCACATCAGCTCGAGCTAAGATCATGCACAGCATCTGACAACACCGGGAAATTACTGTTGTCCATCTTCGGGAAAGATACAAAAACATTGTGAGATGTTCAATAATATTTCTTTTCAGTGCAGACTGACAAATATTGGCACTTCCTGCACATGCGTTCGGCTATCCCTATTTGAACTTATCTATAAATGAAAGAACATCCATGTACGTTTTAAAACAAACCCAACTTACATCAGTCGGAAATAATTTCACACATGAATGTTAAACGGCACTTGTAGACATATATAGCGCAAAACTTTTTTTGTTTGGTTGATAATTGCATCCATTTAGAATGATTTACTTTCAAACACATTTCTATGAACATTTCAGAGTGGTATAATGCTTATTCAACGTCACTCTGCAATGTAATTTTACTCCTTTGTGTTTGTGGTGTACTTTTTGTGTCGTTCAGAAAGGGAAACATGATCAGCTCACTGTACTGTATTAACCTCAGAAGCAGATGACACAAATGTTGACACTGTGCATCCAGAACAAAAGAACTGTAATCGAAATGCAAATGATGGCAACTTTGATTTCTCAGCATTCCTGACATCCCAGATAAAATACCCTTTTTCTGAACGTTATTTGAAAAGAAATCCACTGTGGCAATGCTCAATGTTGGAACCCGAAGTGATTTTTTCGCTTCCACTTGCATAGGATTTTGCTCTCTACTCCAAGGTGACCGTGCAGCAGGATGTCCTTGACCCCTGGGCCGTCCTCTCCCCTCCTCTTTACAACACCACCCCCATTCCACTCAGCCACCCCTATATTCTCATCTGTGGAGCCCAATGCTACTGCTTGCCAGGAGTGGGAGCAGGCCCACCATCTTCTCTTCCACCTGGGCAACATGTCTCTGCTGATGGGCCTGGTCATCCCCACCACGCTTGGTCTGCACATGATCCTGCTTCGCTTTCTTCTCGTGACAGGTCTGTCTGGAGCGCCACCTTCTGGTGGCATTCTCATTGGAATACTACAGCTGTAAGCTGCCTTTGTTTGATTCTTTCTTTTATTCCAAGTTCTGCATTAATGGTATCTTGGGTAAACTTTCAACAAAGGAGAGATAAAGAAAGAATATAATGGTGTCTGCAAGATGTATTTACAGCATGTTTATCTTCCACTTGGAACCAGACAAGAGACAGGAAGCAGCAAGATTCATGGGAAATGGTCATTTATTTATAAAGTCTATTCAAAGAGCCATGTCTCAGAGGGATTGAAATAGGGATCGAGTAAGCGAAAGAGAACATAAAAAGAACACAATATTGGATAGCGGGATTTGATAGCCAGTGTTCATTTTGTATAGATATTTGATTTTTAAATGTACTATATCCTTAAACTGTGTTTTTTGCACCCTGACAGGATGTGGCTTCTTCATTGCTTGGGCAACTTTGTACAGGTGTAACATGGACGTGATGGTTTGGAATGTGGTTTTCCTGGTGGTCAACATCATGCACTTGTTGTTTCTCTTGTACAAACGTAGGCCGGTGAGTTATATGTTGCTGTTTACTGAAAAACTTCAGTTGGGGTGGGAAGTGTGTCTTGGTTTATGCTGAGATTTAGGCTCCATTTTTTGCATTGTCTGGGTAGGAGGTCACAGATCCTCCTGAATTTCTTTCTGTCTTGTAGTAATTTGATCCCAATTTGATAAAACAGAAAGGTACCTCTGGGGGATTATGGGGAAGTAATGTACCAAGTGACAGAATCAGACCACCATTCTGGTGGAAGAATTTCTTCCACCAGGCGGTCAGGAGACTCAACTCCCTCCGTGCTCTGCCCAAACTCCCCACCCTCTGCCTCTGCCCGACCCCTGCCTCCTGTCACAGACTATGACCCTCCCCTCATTATCCGTCATCTGCATATTGCACATTGCACAATGCACTACGTCACTTTTATCCTCAATAGCCTCAAGTGCCATTGTTTTATGCTGCTTTTATTGTATATATCGTCTATATGTTTATACTGTTTTAGACTACATTGTCTTTCACTGTTTGCTGAGGATTGAGAGAAATAAATTTCATCCATGCTACATGTCAATGTATGCATATTTGACAATAAAGTTGAACCTTGATCCTTGAACCAGCACGTAACAATCCAACACGAAACCTTTCCTCCTCAGCCAATGTGCCTTTCTTGACTCTTGGATTTGATATGCTATATATTTCTGTCACTTTGATAAGACCTTGTTATGCAAAGAATAAATGTAGACTGTTTTTCTGCTTTCTCAGATTAAGATCGACAGGGAGTTGAGGTCCTTGTATAAGCGGATGTTTGAACCCCTACATGTCAATGAGGCTCTGTTTCAGCGACTCACGGGTCAGTTCTGCACCATACAGGCTCTGAAGAAAGGGCAGGCCTATGCTGCAGAGGACAAGACCTCTGTGGACGAACGACTCAGCATTCTTCTCAGAGGGAAGTATGTACCGTTTCTTGGCTGACTTGGGTGTCTTAACCTTACCTAAGTAGCAATAGATCAAACAAACATTTAAGAAAAAATAAAAACACTTCCTTTGAACATGTTTATGAATATATTTAGAAGGAAACGCTGTAATCTAAACATAGTTTTGTTCTGCCTTTTTAGTTTTTAGTATTCATTCTGACCTTAACTTTCTGTGTAACAGGATGAAAGTGTCCTATCGAGGGCATTTTCTTCACAACATCTACACCAATGCATTTATTGATTCCCCAGAGTTTCGGTCCACTTTAATGCACAGAGGAGAGAAGTTCCAGGTATTCCATATATATATATATATATA